GCCGCTCTGAGGGAGCGCGGTACCTCAGCCCCCACCCTGAGGTAACGGCTGCGGCCCCTTTAAGGCGCGGGGTCACGTGGTGCTCGCCGGCTGCTGGGCGGTGGTGTAGTCCCTTGACCGGGGTGGCAACGTCGGCCGGCGGGGAGAACGGCAGCGGAGGGGACTACAACTCCCAGCGGACACCGCGGCGGCGGGGGAGCTCACCGGCCGCTGCTTCTGCATTTATTGTTTCTAAGTTCACCACAACACAGGAGTCTTTCAGCCCTGGTGCTGAGAATGAGAACCCAGGAATCACACATCGTCTCAGCTACAGCAGGTACCAAGTCAAGGTTTTCCCTGGAATATTGTTCTCTGTGGCGGATGCTCCGGAGCAAGTCTGACTTTCTGCAAGATCTCTGTGCTCTCAGCTTTAAAGGACACTGTTTAAGGATCAGTGAAGATTGCCTAGAAAAAAGCCAATAACCATCAAGCCAAAGAGGTCATAAAGATCCTGAAATGAAATTTTATTATACAACATGTGAGATTCCTTTTATTTTGCTCTAAACCTCTTCAGCACTAGATGAAGTTTTCTCAGCTGAGACATCTGGCTGTGAAGCAAGTTCCAGAGGAGATTAGGTGAAACCGAATTTGGCCATCTAAAGGAAAAATCTGCAGTCCTTTTTTTTTTTTGTTTTTTTTTTTTTTTTGAGAAAGCCTTGCCAGAAGAACAACACTGCTTGTATCATTCTTTGGTTTGTCACACCAAGCAACCAAAAACTCTCTCAACCAAAGCAAATTGATAACCTAGTCCTGAGAATATTTTCTTTCTTTGCAAAGGAGGCAGTGCCCAGGACTCCATGGGGGCCACCCAGGAACTTGTCAATATCCATCAGATGCAGAAGGAGCTCAGATAGATACTCTGGCACTGGGTGTGAGAACTGGAGGTGAGCTGATTGAAAGGCACTCAGCGTAGATATACGTTGTGATGCTGCTTTACTGATCTACGTGCCTGTTTGTAATCATGATGTGATCGCTGTGTGACCACAGACAGAGCTCCTCTGTGAGACCTGGGTCACCTCCAGGTGCTTTCCCAAAGTGTGGGATATGAGTTTGGTCTGTGGATCACGGAGGGGGTCTCTCACCATTATGATGCTGCTTAAATGAATGTGATAGAAACAGAAGGCTGGAAGAGCCCTATCTAGTCTCATGCCATGTTGTGGGAAGGTCCACTACAGTAAGTTCTCTTAACTCAACCTGGGGAAAAGACAGAGCAGCTTCTGGAGGTGAACGCCATGGACCTCTAATGCCACAGCCCCTGCCATAGGGGGCACACAGGAGATGGGGTGTTTGGGCTCAATATTTTCTAACTGTTTTCACTTACATGTAAATACATCCTTCCCTATACCCAGAAACGTGCGTGTTCACTCTCCTGTGGAGAAACCTTTTAGAAAAATGAAGTAGCTGTTAAAATGACAGCTTGTTGGACAGCAAAGACAAATTAGTGCTAGTTGCAGAATAATTACATTGACAAATTGCTTGAGTTGTATAATGTTCATGTCAATGAAAAGCCCCGGGTACTCAGCAAAACTGTAGCAATACGACAAAAAAAATGGAGTGAAAACCAGGACCCCAAAGTAACTTTTGGAAACATAAATAAATCAATAGTCCACTGAATTGAGGTAATTAGAGAACAGCAGAGAACAGAAGGACAACTTTAAAGTCTTTGCAGGGCTACCTTGCACCTGAGCTGCTGCTGTGGCTTCAGTCTATCACTAATGTCACTAAGTAGCATTTGCAGAACTGGGAAACAAATGCATAATTAGGAACCCCTTGAAACTAAAGAAACCATAAATTTTAACCTCCCTGGCACAGAGACTATTATTTCAAGACCAGTAAGGCTTAGCAGATCTCTTATTTTTTAATTGCAGTTATAACAACAGTTCAGTGTCTAGATCCCTTATGTCACTGTGTATGCAACGTGAGACCACAAATATTCCACCGAAGCAGTAAAACCATACTAAGTTTTCCCATCCCACCTCGGCAACTTGAAGGTAACTGTGACCTGCACAGCTCTCCATACAGCCTTCTATTGACTTTATGGCTCACAGAGAAAACTACAACGTGGCTGAAACTGGGCTGATTCAAAGGAAAAGGATGGGAAAGCACGGCAGCTATCTGCACTGCTTATACAGTGAGTTTTTATGAATGTCGTTCCTGCAAAAGGTGAAAAACTTTTGTATTATAAATAATTTTTCCCTCCAAAGGATACTGAAATGTATTGCCAAGCTTTAAATTAACAATGAGATAAATTAAAGTTAGTTTGTTCAAATGACTGAGTTTATTTTCTTAGGGAGGAGGTGGAACATTTTAAGTAATTTGATTCAAGTAAGGGCAAGAAGCTTAGTTGTAGGTCTTCACAGCAGTCAAATTAATTTCTTCTCCCTTTTGCTCCAGTTCATACGAACATTCAAATCCACACCAAAGTGGCAAGTTCACTTCTAAAACAACCTACTGGCTCAACATCTAATTGTAAGTTAAAAACAAGGTGTGGTAGCTGAGTTCAGTTCAAAACCATAAAAGTAATTAATCTTCCTGAGCACTAGTATTTACTTGCAGTTTTTAAAAAAGACCCAGATCTGCACAGTTTATAAAAACTTATGATCCTGCACTGTGAATTTTCTTTAATATTGAAAACTCAAATTTAAAATAAATAATCTGGATGGCCCTTATTTTCTGCAGTGTAAAAGGAAAACATTTATGTTTCTACAATGAGAGCATGGGAATTAAATGCTGTGATGTCAGACTAAGTACTATTACTTTAGCTCCTCTATGGTTGAGTGATTTTACTATAATAGTTTCTCATAATAATGCTTTTTATCTGTAATACATAGGGGATAGAGAGACTGACAGAGCTGTAATCTTTCTTTCAGAAGTGTGGTGTTAAATGAACAGGGGCCACGTGAAAATACAATTCTGAAAGGAAGATAAAGACGGCCCTATATAAGACTGAAATAAGACGTGTCACCATTTCAAGTGAAAGATGGTAGCTCTGAAAGTAATGCCACATATTAAGAAGAGATGCCACATGGAGTTGGCTTCGAATTTATACTACGAGGCCTGGAATTTATTTGTTTGTGGCAAAAGGCTGCACACAATTGCGTATAGCCCCTGCTATCTGCTGAGCACTGAACACGCTTATGAGGATTCAGGCCCTACCCCAAAAAACTCACCCTTTACTACACCACATCATGAACGAACACGTTCTGCTGGTTTCCCAGCTGCCTGTGCACACACGCAGAGCTCCTCCGTGTGCACCGAGGCAAACCAAGCCTGGACCAGCCTCAGCGTAGAGCCGTGAACCGGTAGCTTCTAGTAGCTCCTTCTCAGCTGCCTTTTCTCTGACCTTTTAAGCGCGTAGGGCCATTGGTGAATGAGAGGTCTGACTTGAGTTCGCCTGGTTGCCGTGGTGGCCGATGGCGTCAGGCTACGGGAGAGCCTCCCTGGGCCTAAGCGGGAGGCCGGCACCTCAGGAGCCATTTGCCTCAGGGGGCTAAAGGCCCTCGGGGGCTCTTCAGGGGGGGAAACACCAGGCCCTCAAACACTCGCCTGAGAGGCACGATCTTCGTTTTCGAAGGCTTTAACCCCCCACAAAACCGGTCGCACCGAGCAACGCGGGGGCCGCGCTCCCTCAGAGCGGCGGGTGGGCTGCGGCCCCTTCCGCAGCC